ATTAAATCCACCCACAGTCACATTCCATCGCAAATTGATATTTATGATTTGATTTTTGCCTTTCACTCGTCTAAAGCACAGCGCCGACATTATTCCGGCCATTGCTAAGTTCAATTCAATGCTATTTGCTAGGTCAATTATTCTACACAGCTAGATAACTTTGTTTCTTTGGTTTTGGCGGTGCGGGAGAATGCCACCCATATCATGCTGCTATTGTTCTTCCCCGCACCACACTTTACACTCATACACAGATACGGGAAATGGTCAAAATGTTGCAAACTGAAATAGGCGTCATCACAAAAACGTAAACAAAATGAAACATTTGACATGTGTTTGTTTTTCATCTTCTGTATAGAACTTTTTGACGTTTAATCGTCTTTCTCTATCTAGCACACATGGATGAATGCATGGTTTGTTTTCCCACTAATCTATTTCTCTCTTGCTTGCACTCGTTCGATTTAAATGGTGTCGTAGTGTGCGCCGATTAAACGTCAAAAAGCTCTATGCATGAATATGGTTGACAGCAAAAATTGCTTCCGTTTCTTGTTTGTATCTTCTGGAAAACGCTTCCCCTTTAAATTGCAATTGATTTGATAGTTTAATAAGCAGATCACTTGTTTCCTCAATAGACTAGTTTGTTTTGCTTAAGGTTCTATTGTGTTTTCAACAACAATCATGGGAAACCTGAAGTAGTCAAGGTGATAACAAACAAAGCCGCTGTTGTTTTTGGTCAAATTGGTAGAAGGTGATTTTAGAGTGCCGATTAAAATTTGTAAGTACTTTCGTTCGAAAAAACGTTGTTCCTATCATGTCTTCATTCCAGTGATATGATTCATTCATAAGTTTCCGAGTGGCGCTGCGATCGCTAAAAATAAAAAAAAAAATCAACGGCTTCTGCTATGTTATCTTTGCCAACGTGTTCAGGTTTCCTCTATGTAACAATACTTTTGTTTCGAATTGGTTTTCACTAACTTAGTGTTGCTTTCATGTTTATTTTATGACTTTCACAGCAATTTGTATCTCACTTATAGCCTACCGATTAGTTAAAATACTACTTTGCTACGGTGAATAATTGCTTTAATAAGTGTATAAACGTCTAGCTGACTGCTGACTGCTGCCGTCGCCGCCGGTTCGAATCACAGTAAATCCAGGCCCACGCTCGATCGGTTCCTATCCCTCGTCCGGCTTACTTGGACAGGTTCACCACATTCTGAAACAGATCCGAACAGTCCTGATCTAGAAGTAGGTTCTCCACCTGTTCATCCGAGAGACCATCCCGTGCAGGATCCGACGAGCGTTGGAAGAGAAAAAAATCACTCCCCGTACCGGAACCGGTGCCCGTGCCCGAGCCATTCCCCCCATTCACACCCACGGAGTCACCGTCCCGGGCGACTTCCGATTCCGAATTCCGGCGCTCGAGCGAGCGTCCGATCCGCTGAATGCCTTGGGTGAATGCATCCTTCATCCGATCGCTCGTATCGATGATAATATCCAAACTCTGGCGCCGACCGGAACCGGACCCCGCACATGTGGTGTCTTTTATTAGGGAGGGAGCAGCACCAGTCGGGGAACAACCCGTCATGGAGATCGAGGTTGATCGACCGATCGAACGACTCGTAATCCACCCGGTGATGCCTTCGCTCTTTCTAATGTTCTGGTTAGCGCTGTCGTCGTAGAGCTCCATCTTGATTATGCGTGCTTTGACCCTAAAATGAACGTGTCATAAAAATTTGAATGGTTGCTATAGGGTTCTTCGACTTACTTTGGTCCCGAGTGGCTATCATCGGAATCCGTATCGGTTGTGTCCGATATCATATCCGCGGCCAACCCGTTGCCATCGTCTTCCAGTGCCAACGAATTGTGCTGCGAATATCCCGAACTGCTACTGTTGGAGTTGGACAACCGAATCTCCGTCCACTGCTCAATGTCCTCCGATGACATGTTGGTAATGTCATCGATCGTCCGGTTCGGCGAAAACAGATAGTTGTTATCCGAATCGCTTTCCCCGCTGGGACTGGTCTTTCGGGCAAAGTCCTTCAACAGATGCGGACAGTCCAGCTTGTCCAGGTACTTTGGCTTAATCGGACTGGATTTGATGGCCAGTTTGGCTGGGAACTCCAGATACTCATCACTGGATTCGATCCGTGCCGCCGAAGCTGACTTGCTGAAGGGCAGATGCATTCCACCGATACCCAGCGTCTGATTTCGGGGGAGATTTGTCGATGAAGACGACGAGGATGCATCTTCATCGATACTGCTGGCACGTGCTTTGCGCTGTTGGTGAATCTCCTCGGAGATTTTCTCCAAGCGGGTGAGAGCCTCGTTGTAGCTCATCTTCGCCTCGGACACCCTGGCCTCCAGGTCCACCACCTTTTGCTTCTGCTCGAGCAGCAGGGCATTGTAGTTAGCCCGCAGCTCATAGTACGGTCTAAAATAAGATCAATCAGCTGTCATCTGCCATCCTGACGATCATCGACGGAAGCTTCAACCAAAGGCGATAGTTGAAATCAAATCATAAAATCTACTCATACTTACAAAAACAACAACTCATTTTGATAAACAAGCAAATTCATCATTAGCAGGTTCCTTCGAACATCCAAACTACGACCAAAACGGAAGAAAACGAAACATAATAACCAAAGAAGAGCAACGATAATAATCTGGCAACACTGCCCTAGGCAAATCCCACATGGCCTACCTCGATGCCCGGATCGCACTCTTCAGCTGCGAGTGCAGCTTGGCAACCCGATTGTTGGCCACCTCCAGTTTCAGTTCGCTGATCCTCAGCACGTTTCGCATCTCGGTGCACTCGTTCTGGGATTCGTTGACCCGGGTCGTGGCGTGGGTCAGCATCTCCTGGCAGGCCGTATCCAGCGTTGACTTCTCGCCCAAGCCCTGCTCCGCCAGGAACACCATCTCCTTGGCCGCCGCATGTACCGACTTGGCCTTGTCGTAGTTCAGAGCCGATTGTTGCGTTTCTTTTGTTAGCTAAAATTTGAAATAGAGATTATTATGGCACAGAATTGCATACCCAGTAGCGGGAGGGGGTCACCTGCGAAGCATACAGCCGCGCTTCGTAGTACGGTTTGGCGGTTTCGATCGAATTGCCCAGCTTCTTGGCGACGGCTTTGATCTTCTCGACGCTCTCCTTGAGCAGTTCACGGAATTCGTTTTTGGATTCCTGGTGAAAGACATAAAGGCGAAACGCGTGCGGGGTGGTCAGCTTCGTGGTGGAAATTGCTCAAATAAAATAAATACTCACATCCAGCTCGACTTCATACTTGTTGATGTTGTCTGTTGCTTCGTTCAGCTTCTCCAGTTCGATCTGTTGGCGGCAGTCAGGCGAAGAAAATGGAAAAACAGATGTAATTGACGTTATCTGCATGGGTACAGCTGAAGTATGATGGTGGAAAATGAGAATGTTCAATCATGCTTGCAAATGTGCGTTGATGTACAGATGAGTGGATGGATTTCTTTTACACTGCTCCAGAATTATTAGACAATTTATTAGAATAGGGTTAATAGCAATGTCGGTGCTCTTTTGAAAAAAAAACTTTGACACGATCACATTTAGAGACATCGATTTTAATTGCACGGCGTAGAGTATCAAAAACATTTTCATATCCGGAAGCCACCATCTTGAAATCAGATCTAGCATCTTGATTTTCAAACGCCATCGTTTACGTTTACCAAACGAAAAGTTGATTCGATCTTGATAACAGTTAAGGCCCACAAGCAATGTGGGTGGTAGCGGAACGGAAACGGCAAGTTTGACAGTTGTCACAAATTACATCAAGATGCCTCATCGGAGTCGATTTGGTTCTAATTAGAGTCGGTGTATAATGAGTCACGCCAAGAGAAAAACAGTTGAACTCGCATCACAGTTTTCGAAAGATTCCCTTTCTTTTAACTTGGCAACAGAGGACTTCTACATCAACTTCAAATGACTTCTAGCGAGAAAATATAATAGCGGCTGTAGTAAATCAATGTATCAGTGATTTTGTCAAATTACTGATCATTACCAAACGTATCCCATGCTCGATCCCATGACAATTAAATGCTCACTGCGTGTTTATTATCATTTCTTCGATTATATTTTATATTTTATTGCAATACCTTTCGTGGACCTTTCATAGCATCGTAATGTTTGTTTACTTTGCACGATAGGTAGCTGGTTTGACAGTTCGATAGGTAGACTTGGCTTCACTCTTGGCGTGACTCATTATACACCGACTCTAGTTCTAACCAAGGTGGCTACATATAGGTGTTCTAATGTGTCAAATTCGTGATTCAGCCATGTTGGATTTTTGTATGGGACAGCGACCGAGTTTGTTTACAATTTGCTCTAAAACCGCATTACCCCCCCCCCCCCCCCCCGCGACTTCCTCGCCTATATATTGACAAAGCTGTATCACCATTTATATACCCACCATGGTTCTAACTAGTTTCCAATTTGACAAGTAGGCTTACTCAGATCGGGCTTTTCCGCTGTCACTGCCACTCCGCTTCCGCTGTCATTACGCTTGGGCCTTTAATCCGAGTTTCTGGGCAGAAGCGGAACGGAAACGGAAAGTTTGACAGTTGTCACAAATGGCTTCAAGATGCCTAACCGAAGTCGATTTGATTCTAACTAGTTTTCAATCCGACAAGTGAGCTTACTCAGATCTGGCTTTTCCGCTGCCGCTGCCGTTCGGCTTCCGCTGTCATTGCGCTTGGGCCTTTAGAGTTAATCTAATGGCGGTAAGCTCCTACTCGGAAAACGTTGAAAATTCAGTAGAAACGGTAAAATCACAATTTTACTTTGAATTTCTTGCTACTATATAGAAAAAAAAAAAACACATAGTACGTTTTGACCAGTCAAGTTGTACATCGGACATGTTACATTTGACGATTTTTCTCAATGACATAATCAATGACTGTTACATTGGACGTTTTGTTCTACATGAAACTAGATTCCCTTTCACAGATTTCAGAATAGAGTAACTAACCTAACCCGTCCTTTAAAAAATGAGCACCAATCCATGTTAGGCAGTCCAAATGTCTGAAGTAACGAAACGTGTCGTTTCTGTTCTTGCGCGTGATTCGAGTGGTGAGTGAAATGGCAAACAAGGCTCAAAAGAAGCTGGAAGGAAACATCCTGATCCTTAAGCTAGTGTTGGTGATACGAGATGTGGTGGAAAAGTTCATGGCGAAGGACGACCATGAGCGGAACGCCAACCAAGTATCAGTTCGGTTGAAAACCTTGGACAAGGTCAACAAGGAGTTTCAACCGGTCCAAGGGTAGAGAAATTAGACGTCGATCAGTTCGAAGATCACATCGAGGTACGCACCGGATTCAAAAATCGGTACTGCGTATTGAAAGGCTTTCTACTCTCCGAGATGGACAACGGCCAGCCTCCATTAAATTCGACGATGATCAACACCTTCGCTCACCACACAGCATCGAGTTTTCACCATCGGCTGCCGAAGTTCAGCGGAGATGAATTCAGATGGATATCGTTCCGGGACAACTTTCTGTCGATGATCCACAGCAACGACGACATCCCGACCGTCAACAAACTCCAATATCTGCTGCAATCGTTGGAGGGAGAAGCAAAGAAGCCGTTTGAAAGCGTGGACATTCAGGCGGACAATTATGCGTCTACGTGGGACGCATTGATGAAGTGCTATGACAATAGGCGGTTCGTGAGGAAGGAGTTATTTCGAGGACTATTCGAACTACCACCAATCAAGCGTGAATCAGAACAGGAGCTAAACACATTGGTCGACGAATTCCAGCGGCACGTGAAAGCGTTAGGAAAGCTCGGTGAACGTTCTTGGGAACAGGAAACGCGTCAGAAGGCCGACGTATGCTACGATGAGTCGATTGAATTCCTCATCCAGCAAGTTCGAATGCTGAAGTCTGTATCAAGCGATCTACAACATCGCTCTCAAGGGAATAGCACCAAGGTGGCCGGCCCAAACTCGAAGAAATTGTCCACATTCAAGTCCGTTGCCAATGCTGCTACAAGTGAAGTCAAGTCGAACACTCCTCATTGCCCGGCAAGTCCCGAGAAGCATCTGCTACACCAGATCTACGTTGTTATCTCTCCCACGAACATACTCGAAATCGCAACTATAAGGTCTAAGCTTCATAGCCTATTCATCAGCTCTTGGCCCCATAGGACCGTTTCGAATCAACTCTCGTTCGATTCCTGATGGCATGCCGTGGCGAAGAGATGATCTTTCAAATCCGTCGGCAGTATCCTCAATTACCTCGATATTTCTGATCCTCTGAAAAGCATTGTTCTGGCAATGCTTCCTACTGTGAAAACCCTCTTGAAGCAGTTGACATTGAAGTGGCCCCTCCTTGCAGCAATCATCTCCTTCGATGGATAATTTTCCAAACGAGGTCGGGGATTTGATCACTGTTCTACAGTGGAATTGTCGAAGTCTTATTCCTAAGATAGAATCGTTTAAGTTTTTGGTTCACAATAATGATTGTGATGCATTTGCTCTGTGTGAAACTTGGCTCTCTTCAGATATCGATCTTCCTTTTCATGATTTTAACATTATTCGACTGGATCGTGAGGATTCGCGTGGAGGAGGAGTACTTTTGGGGATCAAAAAGTGCCATTCCTTCTATAGAGTGAATCTTCCACAATTTCCAGGTATTGAAGTTGTCGCATGTCAGGCTTTTGTTAAAGGCAAGAGCCTTTGTATTGCTTCTGTGTATATTCCTCCCCGAGTTTCGATTAGTCAAAAACAACTTTCAGATATCTGTTCAGTTCTTCCTACTCCACGGTTGATTATGGGAGATTTTAATTCCCACGGTACAGGCTGGGGGGAACTGTATGATGACAACCGTTCTACTTTGATATATGACCTCTGTGATAACTTCAATATGACAATTCTTAACAATGGAGAAGTAACACGTCTGGCTGGTCCATCCTCAAATGGAAGTAGATTAGACCTCACACTTTGCTCTAATTCATTATCGTTGGATTGCACGTGGAATGTGATCCAGGATCCCCACGGTAGTGATCACTTGCCGATCGGCATTTCGATTGCCAGTGCGTTCAATTCGTCGGAATCCGTTAACGTCGCGTACGACCTCACCCGTAATATCGATTGGACAACGTTCAAGACCGCGATAGATGAAGCCGTGTCGTCGGTAGAATAGCTTCCACCGTTGGAGGAATATAACTTCCTCTCCAATCTGATCTTGGACAGCGCGCTTCGAGCTCAAACTCGGCCGGTTCCAGGAACGTCTTTTCGTAGGAAACCTCCTACCCCTTGGTGGGACCAGCAATGCACTGAGGTTTATCGTAAAAAGTCCGACGCGTTTAAGCTTTTCCGGAAACGCGGAACACCCGAGTATTTCGAAGCGTACTCGACTCTTGAACACGAACTCAAGAGCCTCATCAAAGCCACGTGGACGGTTTATCGCGCGAAACGTCGATTAATACGCTTTGGAACACGGCGCGAAGGATGCGTAACCGGTCTTCAAACAACGAGAGCGAGGAGTACTCGGATCGGTGGATTCTCAAGTTCGCGCGAAAAGTATGTCCTGATTCCGTGCCGGCACAGATGATTCCTCGCGAAAGCCAGCCTTTTTCAATGCTGGAGCTCTCACTCGCGCTCCTTTCGTGTCGCAATTCGGCTCCGGGGGCTAATAGGATCAAGTTCGACTTGTTGAAGAACCTCCCAGACGTCGCTAAGAGGCGCATGTTGAACTTGTTTTGTCAGTTCCTGGAGTTCAATATTGTTCCAGATGATTGGATGCGAGTGAGAGTTATAGCCATTAAAAAGCCTGGAAAACCCGCGTCAGATCATAACTCGTATCGTCCCATCGCGATGTTATCGTGCATTCGAAAATTGTTGGAGAAAATGATCCAATGATTTCGCCTCGACAAATGGGTTGAGACGAACCACCTACTCTCAGATACTCAATTTGGTTTCCGTAGGGGTAAGGGAACGAACGACTGTCTCGCGTTGCTTTCCACAGAAATCCAGTTGGCGTTTGCTAAAAAAGAGCAAATGGCTTCTGTGTTCTTGGATATTAAGGGGGCTTTTGATTCAGTATCGGTTGAAGTCCTTTCAGACAAACTCCACGCTTGTGGCCTTTCCCGGTTAATTAATAACTTTTTGTACAATTTGCTGTCTGAGAAACATATGAGCTTTTCTCATGGAAACTCTACAGCTTCTCGATTTAGTTACATGGGTCTCCCCCAGGGCTCATGTTTAAGCCCCCTTTTGAACAATTTCTATGTCAGAGAAATTGACAATTGTCTAAGTGACAACTGCACGTTGAGACAACATGCAGATGATGGCGTAGTGTCTATG